TTTAGCACGAATAATTGAGTTGTAACCAGGGTTTCTAGCCTTTCTCCTGCAAATTAGGTAAGAGATGAAACTGTTTGAATTGAATTAAAATACTAACAATCTAGGATTTACTAGTTTGTTACCAAATCTATGATTTGAAGGGTTTGTTATCCAATCATAGATTTGGAATGTAATCTTCATTATACACATCTATAAATACATGAGGTCATGACCCATATAGGTCATTGTGCCATTCAATCTAACAACCACTAGCTAGAAGAATGCAAACAGGTGCCCCTTGAGAGGTCGAGTTGTAGTAGATTGGGGTTTAGCCCAAATTCCTCCCTTCTCTGTTGCCCACGATCTGATCTTTTTGTTTTGGCCCAAATTTATTCGATGTTTGACTCGTAACATTAGCTCTCACTCTCGAGATTCATGATTCATGGTTAAACTTGTTCTTAAAGGTTGACCGTATGAAACCCAGTTTGAGAGTAATCATTTTGAATCGTCTCTTCTTAGGACGATATCTATTGGGCCTTATTGAATTATTTTTCATAGGCTTAAATGCTTCGAGATAGGCCTTAAATTATCTTCAAGATTGTCCGACAAATCTCGTAGGGATAGATTTAAGATTCCTCCAAAGATGAATGTCAATTTATTCGAAGCTAATTTTAGTGTTCCACGGTGAATCTTAGATTATCTTTAAAATTAACCATCAAACCCTGTAGGCTTCCTCTCCCGTGCCCGAAGTCAACCATAGAGTTAGTCTCGGCCTTAAAGACAAGGCCGAGGAGCGGAAGCCCAAAATTACTCTTTTCTCTTTGTCTCATGGCTCGACCTTTTTGTTTCGGCCCAAATTTTGTTACGTAAAGATTTTTGTGATTAGTTTTACCATTATTAAAAAAAATTGAAATCATTATTTTTTAACTTTTCTAGTAGAAAGCCTTTATTAAGATTTGGTTATAGTTTGTGTTTATATGTGACATTTAATAAATAATTTAATGGCATTTATTATTATTATTATTATTATTATTATTATTATTATTATTATTATTATTATTATAATTACTATTTTTGAATAAATAGTAAATTATAACACTATCCATAGACTTTCTATCTCTAATTCGGCTAAAATCTAGGGTTTCATGATGAGGAAATAATGGAGATTTTTAGAAGAAAAAAAATGTTTTTTTTTTATAAATATTTTACTGTGATAATCTTAGCCACGTAGGAAATTATTTATTAACAAATTATTTTTAAAATTAAAAGCAAAATTATGTCCTTAAAAATTGATTATTTTGAAAAAATATTATATTAATAATAATAAAACGTAATGAATTTATTTTTAAGCAACATATAATTTTAATTATAGAAGAGCGTTAATTCATTCTCGTACACTCCACCAACTTTCGGAGCGCCATAAAAGACGACTCTAATTTGTCTGTAACTTATAAGAGAAGCATGTTCAATATCCACGTGATACCTACAAAATGCCGACTAATCTATACCATTGTTGGGAAAAACAAGTAAGAACCAAGAATACGTATAAAGAACGGTACTACGAGAGGCCAAAGAAGAGAAGTTAGGGAAGATTTAATGCAAACTTTACTCACATTTATGATGAACTTTATGGTTGAATAGTGTCCAAGACACGATCAACTCGATAGGTCTAAATAATAGTTATTTAATTATATTACTTTAAAACGTCGATACAGATCTCGTGAATAAATTTATATTTTTTTAAAACTAATTCATAATTTTGGTTTATCTCGTAATAGAGCTTGAAAAGACGATTCCAATATGTCTATAATTATAGATGTTCGTGGGTTGGGTCGGGATCGTGTTTGGACATTTTTTAGACCAAACCCATTATTTGAGTTGTAAGATTCCACGAGAATGCAACGAAGGCAATAATGATTTTTACTGTATCCAACTTATTATGTACAATGAATTAATGTCACGCATAAATTACCTTATTATTTTAAATACGTTTAAAAATTATCATAGTTTATAATCATTTCAAATATATACAATATTTTTTTTAAATATTATTGATTTACCGACGAAATAAGAGTTTAATTAAAACATATATTGTAACCACCTGATGCCACTTTTAGTCAATATAGTTCGATTTGACCCTTTATATATCGCCGTCAATCTCATAATTTTAAAACACGTTTGTTAGAGAAGTTTTCACACCTTTATAAAGAATGTTTCGTTCCGCTCTCCAACCGATTGTGAGATCTCACATCAATTAAAGAAGGGAATGAAACCTTAGAAGAGTGTAGAAACCTCTCATTAGTAGGCACGTTTTAAAATCATAAGGTTGATGATGATATGTAACGGATTAAAACGGACAATATATACTAGCAGTGAATTTTGGTTGTTACAAGAATCAGACACTGAGCGGTGTGCCAGCGAGGACGCTGACTACCAACGGGGTGGAACCCACGTTTATTATAAGGGTGTGGAAACCTCGCTCAATAAAAGCAACGAAGATACGTGTTGGATGATGGAAGTCCCACATCGACTAATTTAGAGTGTGATCATGGGTTTATAAGTGAGGAATACTAACTCTATTGGTATGAGGCCTTTTGGGGAAGCCCAAAGCAAAGCCATGAGAGCTTATGCTCAAAGTGGACAATATCATACCATTGTGGAGAGTCGTGTTCGTTTAACATGGTATCAGAGCCATGCACTAAACTTAGTCGTGCCAATAGATTGGTAAATCCTCAAATCCTCAAATATCGAACAAAGAACTCTTAAAGAAAAGGAGCTAAGCCCCTCCTCGAAGGCCGTCAAAAATGACTAAGACTCCAAAGGAGTCGAGTCTCGATTAAGGGGAGGCGCACTTTGTTCGAGGGGAGGTGTTGGATGATGGAAGTCCCACATCGACTAATTTAGGGTGTGAGATCATGGGTTTATAAGTGAGGAATACTAACTCTATTGGTATGAGGCCTTTTGGGGAAGCCCAAAGCAAAGCCATGAGAGCTTATGCTCAAAGTGGACAATATCATACCATTGTGGAGAGTCGTGTTCGTTTAACATGGTATCAGAGCCATGCACTAAACTTAGTCGTGCCAATAGATTGGTAAATCCTCAAATCCTCAAATATCGAACAAAGAACTCTTAAAGAAAAGGAGCTAAGCCCCTCCTCGAAGGCCGTCAAAAATGACTAAGACTCCAAAGGAGTCGAGTCTCGATTAAGGGGAGGCGCACTTTGTTCGAGGGGAGGTGTTGGATGATGGAAGTCCCACATCGACTAATTTAGGGTGTGAGATCATAGGTTTATAAGTGAGGAATACTAACTCCATCGGTATGAGGCCTTTTGGGGAAGCCCAAAGCAAAGCCATGAGAGCTTATGCTCAAAATAAATGGAGAATATCATACCATTGTGGAGAGTCGTGTTCGTCTAATGAGCTAAGAGAATAATATATATGTTGGTTCCCTAAAAAGAAAATGAATGAAAAAGGTTATAATTGGGAAGTAAGGCAGTAGTATTGTTGCTGTTGTTTTGGGTAGCCCATAGATCCACCGCATGCTACTCGCACTCCAAAACACGACAACCCCACGCAAAACGCCAATAAGCTGTGCGGCTGTGGCCTCACCTTGCTGCGGCCCAAATCCAATGCGCGTTGCGACAAACACGCCTACCACGCAACCCCCCGCCTCCGGTGGAGCTTGGAGGACATGGATTTCTGTATTTTCTGTGTACTTCTAGATCTTCTCTTTTTAAAAAAAAAAACAAAAAATCAATTTTTTAAAATTCAATTATTATTATTATTATTATTATTTTGTTGGTTTGCTTCCTAAATTTGGTGGGTTGCCAATTAAATTTGATTAATCCACAAAATATCTATTAAATTATAATTTCAACTAAAATTATTTTGTTTTTGCCTAAATTTTAGTATGTATTTTGTCATTTACTAATGATAATAATTCTTTTTGTACCATAACCTACCGTAAGATAAAATATTTTTAGCTTGGAAGCAACAAGAATACTCTATTAGTGCATTCTCATAAGAGTTGGAGCGATTTCCGTTTTAAACACTTGAAGCCAAAAATATTCTATTATGTTAACAAAATATATATATCTATTATAATCCATTTGGTAACTCTTTATTTTCAACATATCTTACAAAAATTAAGCTTATTAACTAATAGACGAACACGACTCTCCATATAATATTGTCCATTTTGAGTATAGGCTCTCATGCTTTGCTTTGGGCTTCCCCAAAAGGCCTCATACCAATGGAGTTAGTATTCCTCACTTATAAACTCATGATCATTCTCTTATAAACCCATGATCATTCCCTAAATTATTAGCCGATGTGGGACTTCCATCATCTAACATTAACCATACAAGATACCAGATATTAAATACCAAAAGAGAACGAACCCGTAAAATAAACACTGAGGATATGAAGAACATAGAGGGTCACATCAGCCCAATAACTTAGAACTGTCCTATTGGAAAGGTGGCTCATGTGGTGGTTGGTTTTCCAACCCAGCTTGGGTGGGTTGCACCATGAAAATGACCTTCAATAATGAACATAAATTACACATATCTGCTACCACCCACCTGCTATTGGTCCCCTTTCTCACACTCGGCTCACTCTTAGTGGGTTACATCGCTTTCTCGAACCCTCCATTATTGAGTATTGTCCTAAGATTTTTCTCGACTATTCTGACAAGATAACGGTATATTTTTATGACATTTGATTGTCATGGTAACAACGTGACCTTCTATATTTGGTTGATGTGGTAAACTTCTCGTTTTCCTTTTACGGGTGAGTCCAACTATTCTACTGAGACATTTGGTTCGTAAGAAGACTTGTAGGATATTAAATCTTAGAAAAGTGGTCGATCATTGTGGGAAACCCATGGTGTTCAAAACTAAAAATGAAAGGCTGGAACATAATCTAACCATGGTTGGAGTGGAAAACAAGAACAGAGATCACTGGTTTAACAAGATTGTGTGTTATCAAGCAAGGAATGATCAAGTAAACACTGATAGATTATTCTGAGATCAGTTTAGAAACTCAAAGTACTCGAGAAATTTTAATTTCCATATATATATACATTGAATACTAGTTTGCTAGTGATTTACATTCCCTATGAAAAACTTCCCAATTTTTGGGCTCTAAACAATTTGGGTTTCATAGTGGAAGTAGAAGTTCTAGTACTCAGTAGGCTGTGTATAAAGAGTGCTAATTAAGCTCTTGAATCCAGCTATTGTATATTGTATCAGCTATGTGCAGGAAGGTTGAAAGTTTTAGAGCAAGGGAGAAACCAAATTACATGTCGTCGTCGTCGTCGTTAAGCTCGTCCCTTTGCCTGCGCATTCGAGCTCCCCACGACATGCTTGCTCCTGAATCTTTGTTCATGCTTCTTCTCCTCAAGCCTGATAGCTGATCCTGCCAACGGCTCTTCCACCCACTTTTCACTTCCATTTCCTGAGTAATTCAAGGAAAGAATCAGACAAGTGCATATTTAATTTAGGAAATTCTGATATAGAAACTACGAGAATTGATATCTGCCATATGATTATATCCAGGAATCATAATTTTGTCTTGATTATCCCTGTTTTGAAACACTTGAGTCATTTGAATTAAGAACAGATTATTTTAAGAAACGATGGTGAAGTAAAGAATTTTAACGCTAAAACGTCTTGTGTGACTTTGGCATTTTGAAAAGTATAATAGAAGCATGCGGCAAGCTTAAGCAACTAGCAAGTGAGACAGAGGATAGAATCAAAAGATCCTAAAATTATGGTTAATCAATTGCTAAAATAAATTCCTCAAAGAACATTTGTATATCGTCAATATACCTCTGTAGTTTGTAAATTATGTTTCAACTAATAGTTTTTTTTTTTTTTAAAGAAATACCAGATTATGTTCTTCATCTAATTACCTATACAAAAACAAATCATAAGATTTTTGCAGCCGCAATCCCTACGCCGATTCATGTACAAGCAGAACGCGTAGGATAAACAATTGAAAAGCTCGATTGAGAGGTTGCAGAAATCCAGGTTGAATCAACGAATAGGTCATAGAAATTAATTCAGGATCAGGACGCGAAATTGTTCGAATCAGGTCAAAAATCAACTCAATAAAACGAAATAATTTGCCATGAAATAAGGTAGAGAAGGCATCCGATTCCTAATTGATTCAGAAACCAAATTGACCTCAAAAATCGGCAAGAAATGTACCTCGTTGTTGCCACGTCTTCGAGAAGAGAAAGCAAGGTGAAGGCCTCCCAACATGTCTCTATCATACAAAGCTCTCATACTAGGATCAGACAACGTCTCGTACGCCTCCTGAACCTTGATGAACTTTCTGGTATACTCCTCGATCCTATCCGGCGGCGAGACGTCCGGATGATATTTCAGAGCCAACTGCTTGTACGCCTGCTTAATCTCCGCCATAGACCCCGACTCCGGTATTCCTAAAAGATCGTAGAAGCTAATCTCAACAGCGTCGGAGACAACCGCCTCGTCGACGACGGCTGCCTTCGCTCTGACGCAAAGAGAAGGAGTCCGTGTCGATTTCGGAAACAGAACCTGCGAATTTCCTACCGACGGAGAGGCTCTTCTCGGAGAGAAAATCGAAGGCATCGCCGGTACAAAGCAACGTGAATCAGTACCAGATAAAGCCAAACCGTAACCACGCATCTCTGTGATTTCTTCTTCCGATTATGTCACTGAAATCTTCCTCTGATGAACCTTCACCACTCGCTGGTTCGTCGACTGCGGAAGTAAGTACGGAATGAGCAAAAGCAGAAAAATTCCTGTGAATTTCTTGTCTGAATTGGCTTCCCCCGTTACGGTTTCAATGGGGTTCTTAGCTGACTTACATATATATATATATATATATAAATTAGGACGCCATTTATTATTTATTTATTTTTAAATTAAAAAAAAAACGTGAGGTGGGGATTAATTTCTTACTAATTTATAAAAAACACCTTTTAATTTGTCGTTTCTTTAAAATAAAAATATTCTTATTCTTACTTTTTTTTTTTTTTTTAAATTTCATAAATATTTTAAATTACATTTATTAAATATTTATTAAAAACTTGACATGACAGAGGCCTATAATATTGTATACTTCAATTTATTTTTATTTTTTATAGTTAATATAAAAAATCACCTGGTTCAGAGAATTTGGTCCTTTTTTTTTTTTTTTAATTTTGGTTTTATATTATTTTTTAAAAATTTAATTATTATTTTTGGTTTTATTTTTTTGGTACGGTAACAATTAGATGAACTTAAATGTTAATTAACCATGATAATCATTGATTTATGAGTATTTTATTATTTATTTAATTATTTTGGTTGTTATTATAAAAAAATTAATTTCAAGGGGCTTAATTTTGTGAGCCAAATCTATGGTAACCCACCCCAGGTTTCACAAGCCACTCACTGTATTTGAAACCAATGGTCTCATTTAATTAAATAAAACCAATGGTCTCATTTAATGAGCCAAGCTTTCTCAAAACTAATTTCATTCATTCCAGACCACTCAAATCGACCTAACCCGAATCATAGGAGTTGGGTTAATATTTTGGGTTGAATTGAGTTTATTTTTTTGAACCCGATTTGGTTCGATTTCGGATTTGGGTTCATGGGAAAAAAATGGTCAATGTGATGTCCACATTGGTTGGGAGAAGAACAAAACACCCTTCTTTGTAAGGGTGTGTAAATCTTCCCTACGAGACGCGTTTTAAAGTTTTGAGGGAAGCCCAAAAGGGAAAGTCGAAAGAGGACAATATTTGCTAGCGGTGGGCTTGGGCTGTTATAAATAGTATCAGAGCTAGACATCGGACGGTAGTCAGTCTTCTCACTGTTCCCTGAAGGGGGTAGACACGAGGCGGTGTGCCAGCAAAGACGCTGGGCCTCGATGAGGAGTGGATTTCGTGGCAGTCCTACATCAATTGGAGAAAAGAACAAGTGTCAGTGAGGACGCTAGACTCCGAAGGGAAGTGGATTGTGATGTTTTACCTTGATTGAGAAGGAGAACAAAACACCGTGTATTAGTAATTTACATGTTTTTTAAATTGCAGCGAACAAAATATCAAACCAATATATTAATGTAAGAAGAGAATAGTCGATTTGAATGTCAAAGAATCGGAGTTTAAGATTTATTTTAAATAAATTATTTGATTTAAGAGTATAATTATTGAAATGGAAATTTTGAAGATGGTAACAACTTCATTATTTTTCAATTTTATAATTATTTTATTGTAAATAAATTATTATTATTAATTTTTTTTTTATTATCAACTATTCAGAAATGAGTCTTGAAATTATGAATGGAACAGTTTTATTTATTTATTTATTTGTTATTATTATTATTATTATTTTCTGAAGTAATTTAAATAAATAGGATTATTATATTTTATATAGTAAAATAATAAATCATAAGATTGTGATCAATTTGTAAGCTATGGAGGTGTGACATTATTTATTTATTATAAAGCTGATGTGAAAATAATTTGTTATAAATTAAACATGAAAATAAATTTTTTTTAAAACATTGATTTTTACAACATTTTTATCGTAAAATTTACTTTAATAATGTAATGTTTGAAAATTAAAAAATATATATATATTGTTAGAAATACCAACAATGATCGAAAAAAAAGTATTATATGCCATTATTCGGATGATTTTATATATAAAAAAATGGGAATAATGCGAGAAAAAAAAAGTGTAGTTTGTTCGATAGTGAAAGTCTCACGTCAGCTTTAGGGAATGATCATGGTTTATAATCAATGAATACTATTTTCATTCGAATGAGGCATTTTAGGCAAAACTGTGAGAGTTTATACTCGAAGTGGACAATTTCTTACCATTGTGGAGAGTCGTGTTCATCTAACATGATATTAAAGTCATGCCCTAAACTTAGTTGTGCCAATAGATTGGTAAATCCTCAAAGAGCCTCGATTAAGGGGAGGGGGAGGCGTACTTTGTTCGAGAGGAGGTGTTGGATGATGAAAGTAATTTAGTCTAATAAGAAGAATTATTTTTTTGTTATGTGAGATCCCACATCGTTAGAACAACGAAACATTTTTCATAAGGGCGTGGAAACCTCTCTTCAGCACACGCGTTTTAAAAATAATGAGATGAACAACGATACGTAACGAGCAAAAACGGACAATATTTGTTAGCGGTAGGCTTGAAGCTGTTACAAATGGTATAAGAGCCGAACATTAGATAATGAGCGAGGACGTTGGGCCCCAAAGAGATGAATTGTAAAATCTCACATCGGTCTGATAGGGGTCTGATAGGGAAATGGTAATTTAGTGCAAAATAATTTTTATTTTTAATATAACATATGTCGTTGCAAAATAATGTAAACTCAAATTTTCATTTTTGGATGTTTTTCCAAAACGGACCTTAAATTCCTTTTTTTAAAAATGGGCCTTAAATTTTTTTAATGGGCCTAGGTCGGTATAACCTTATTGATGGGCCGAAGTCCAAATTTAGAAGGCCCAAGCCCAATCTGGAAACCACAGGAAGTCCTAAAGAGCAAAGTTATAAGAACAAATTCTCACCGCCTCGCGGTTCTTAAACCTCTCGACGGCCGAGAGGAACTGCCGCGCCAAGAAGAACCAGAAGCTGAAGAAAGCCAGAGCTCTATTACACTGCCGAATTCAACTCTTTCTTCTTTCTAATTGTATTTTTCTGTCTAGGTTTTTTTTGATTTTAAGCTCCTGAAGTTTTGATAAGCTCGAAGAGTTTGATCTTCCCATGGCGACGGCTTCTCACGCAGTAGCTGTCAAGTCCCTCAATAAGTCCCCTGGTCGCCGGCGTTTTGTTGTAAGCATTCTCTTCGCTGTATATCTTCAGGACTATTGTATTTATGTTTTGTGTTGATAATTTACTGGTGCTTAAGTTTCGCTGCCATGAAACCACTACAGTTAAGTGAATGGTTTTTTGTTCATGTCTTACTGATGCTTTCCTACTGATATCTAGTAGAATCTAGTGTGTTTCTTGTGGGATAATTATTCTGGCGGGAGCTTTTGTTTTTCCGTTGAACTTTATGAATGTGCACGTTTGTCTACCGGCTAAGCGGAGTTTTCTTGGTTCAGTTATCTCTGTTCTTCTATCAGGATGCTGGTTTTTAAACCATACTTACTAGGTTTAGACTATTTTTTTTAGAAAATAAGCAAGTTGGTGGTCGTTATCCAATTTTTCTTTTTTCTACGAGTCTCCCTTTCTCTAAATAGTTTATGATAATTATTTTTGTAAACAGATTTTAGTTTCATATTTTCTTTGTTATGCTCTACAGTTCCAGACATTCTCTCAGAGATTACAAGAAATTGACATCGATGTATACAGAAGCCTCGATAAAGTAAAGTCCGAGCCATCCGAGGGATCCTCCTTTTTCCGGGACTGTCTTATGGAATGGAGGGTATGCTTTATTAACTTTCTTTTCGGAGGATGGTGGTTTCCTTTTTTGCCCCTCTTAGTTGCTAATATTTTTATGATGTATGTCTAATATGGTTTGGTATGAACTCATTACTCGGTTGTCATTTTATTACAACGTGCGCGCTTTGGTTGATGAAATAGCTATACTCTTCATTTATGATCAAAAGCATCCCGTTTTCCTTCCCCTAAAAAATAAGTAATGATATCAACTACTTGGATTTAAATGAACACAAGATTAACCCATTAGAGCTATTAATTTGAGCAGGAAAGGTGACCTTAAATTTTGATTTTTCTCTTTCCTCCGAGTTAGTTTATTGAGAAGGAATAGGATAAATCAGGAGAGATTAGAAAGATCAAGTATCACTGCATATGTAATGCCTATAGATTGTTGTTCATGGTATTGTTCAATAAAAGTTCTGGATGAAGCTGGCTTTTGATGTTAATTCTCTGCAAATGTGGGTGTTTCATGCATTATTTTTTGTTAGGGACTCAATTTAGCGAAGCAAAAAGTTTTGTGCGGTTATTTAGCCTTCTCATCTGCTATAAATTTTATTATCTTTTTTCCTTAAAGAATCTTGCCATTCTCTTCTCCAATACAGGAATTAAATACCGCAGAGGATTTTATTTCTTGTTACGAAGAAATCATTCCTCTGGCACAAACATTACCTCTGGTGATACTGCACAAGGAGTCCATATTTTCAAATCTTCTTTCTAGAGTACATATAAAAGGGAGGCTATCTCTGGAGCCTATATTGAGGTGTGCCAAGCTTATTTTTTAAACATCCTCGTCTTGCATCTTTTCTGTTTATGTTTGTAACTTGTATTTTAGTTTCTGTGATGAGTACCATGCAGTTGTGGACTTATATGCTCAGAGTTATTGTCCAATCTCCATACCATATCATTTGTTAATATAATATGTACATCAAATTTTTCAAAACTCTTCAACAATGTTGCTTACCAAGCTATATTTTGGTGTAAACTGTTTAATATTTTTACTTCCTGTAGTTATACCTCCCTCATTGTAACTTGGGGAGGTCTTTTGTAAACATAATGAATATTATATCCCTTTTGTAAATCTAAATTATCAATGAAATTGTCTCTTATTAAAAAAAAAAAAAAAATTCTTAGTAAGGATGCAGCACCAATCCTCAGCCTACCGTCTAAAAACCCTTGGAAACACTCTTGTAAAAATGATAGCAGAACTTGTAGGTCTTTCACTATAGTCCTTGCAGGTCAATGATTTGCAGGGCAGTGAGATATGTAGGTTCTTTTCATGGAAACATAAAGTATTTTCAAAGCACCAGGCCACCTCAAAGCAACACGCCCCTTCGTCGCTTTGAGGCGAAACAAATAAATGCATAAATAAATAGTATATATAGAGTCACATAAATGTCAAATCCTTAAAGACTTAGAAACATCAAAATGTCAAAGAGTTAAACAAAACTCAAGTTCCTCCTCTCCCTCTAAGTCTAAGGCCTCCTTGAAGTTATTAAGAATGAACAAAAAATAAAAGTAAAACATCAATTGTCAAAATTATCCTCCTCTCCCTCTAGGTCTAAGGCCTCATCTAGTGGGAATATTGACAATATCTCAAATTGACATTTATTTCACCTCATCATAAAAGAAAAAAAGCATCTAAGGCCTTGTCAAAGATAAAAGAAAAAAGCATTGATTGTCAATTTTTCTTTGACAACCAAATTGACATTTATTTCACTTCAAAGCGTGCTTCCTTTTGGAACCTGATCTCATAAGAGGTTAAAAAACGTTTGTCAAGTTGGGAGAGTGCTTTCTTTCCCAAGAGTGGAGTTTAACGCTTATCCAATTGTGTGGGGGGGGGAGTCCCAGTTTTTTTCTGAAATTTTCTCACAATTTCGAATATTGTTTCTTATGCTACTTCTTGTGAGGTATGTATCTCAGTTATCTTTTATGGATTGGGTTTGAAATTGTGATTTTTTTTTTTTTTTTTTTTTTTTAAATTTCAGGTTGATTGCAGCTTTAACGAGAGATCTGTTGGAGGATTTTTTGCCGTTAGTTCCTTCTCCCTTGGACTGAAATATCTTGTTTGTACTTTTGTGCTTTATCACTTATTTCTTCTCCCTTGGGGGTTCCGTAAGTTTGAACGGCATTTTTTTGTCAGTCGCTTAATTTTATTTTCTTGTTTTTCCTGTGCCAATTTCTTTTTCCAAGATTTGTGGACAATAGTGTTTGATTGTTCATTCACAACCATATAAATTACCATCTGCAACAGTTTAAACAATATGTAACGAAGCTACTTTTTATTCCTTCTACTTATTTTATGTCTTATGCTATCAATCATTATGTGACAGATTCCTGTCTCCATTAACTGATGCATTAGTGTCTCTCCTAGAAGGTGGTGCAGCAAGGGAGCCAGAAATTGTTGAGCAGGTTTGTCTACATTATGCCTTCTATTTTGACATATCAAGTCATTGATACCATACTAATTTATTCCAAAGCTGGATCATGTTTCTTGCAGATTTTTACATCTTGGTCATATATTATGATGCACTTGCAAAAATATCTTACGCGAAATCTTGTCCATTTGCTAAAGTAAGTCTTCCTCTTTTTGCTTATTATTATTATGTCGTGGTGAAGAAGAGAATGTATCTGTATATTTTTGAAGGCCCCACATCTATACCAAGCTTGCATGATTTTTTAAAAAATCAGTTTCTTGTATAAGTTTCCGCTTGTTGGGCCGTTGGTCTAGAAAGGCCTATTTCTGTGATGGTGGTTTTGGGGTGGGGGCTTAATTCGATGCAAAGTTTACATGGGAGGGTAGAATAAACAATAGAGGTAGCGTTGATAGAAAATCATGAGCTTAGTCAGAATCACTAGTGAAAGAAAGAAAGATTAGTGATAAGGTGAAAAGCAGTCACTAGGGAACTTTTATGTTTATGCGGTTTAGGAATCTTATCCCAATATTCTTTGAAGATGAGTTGAAAGCAAAGCTCGTGTACATGTTTTCAATTGATTATTTATTGAAATCATGCATATTTGCTTAATGTATGTATGTGCTCATGCATGTTTATTTTAATTTTTAAGGGTTACTGTGCCATTAAGACATTACCCCAAAGAGTACATTCAAGATTTCATGGCTGAGGCGACATCATTTTTGCTGCGGAATGCACCAGTTGATCAGCTAAAAAATGGTAGGACTTCTCAATATTAAGCTTTTTGGACATTATTTTACAGATCTTCCTATTTTTTCTGCTTGGTAGTACACTTAATTAATTGTTTACCAATTAAAAGAAGAATGAAGATAAATTGAATCTCTCAACTTCATTTGTTTTGTATTTATTTATATACATAATTGGGGGGCCTAATATGTCGTCATCTGTACTGATTGGTACACGTCTTTCAACTTCAGTGGGTGTAAATATATATACAATTACTAGATAAACTCTAACATCTATTGTTTCCTTTGTATGCTTGTTAGCCTGTATTCGTGATAAAGTTGTCACGGCTACCTATCTCTTCTCTAATTTGCTCACCTACTTAAATTCCTCATATAGGCTAATGTCACAAGGCTTTCCCTCGTAACACTATATATATTGAAAAATGATGAATGATTTTATTGTGAAAAGAAGTGGGAGTATCTCGCATCTATCATTTGGTCAATTGGAAAGGATGTTTCAACCACAAGAATCTGGAGATTCAGTCTTAGCCATATGAAAATGTGTTTTAGTTTGTCTCCTTTTGAAGGGCTGTTTTTTTATACGCATTCTTTCATTTTTCTTTCTCAATGAAGTATTTTTTCTCATGAAAATGAAATTTAATCTCTTATTGACAAGTGACTTCAGAGAATTGCTCGAGAATTTCTCCTTGTGATATTCTCTAGGAGCATCCACAGTGTTTTAAAATACATTTCTTCACTTCTGTCATTTTCAAGTAGTTCAAAGATTTTTATTGAGATGATGTATTAAGACTGCATCATTAAGTTTGCGAGATGTTGTAATTTAATATCCAGATGGTGGCTAACTTTTGATTTTTCTGAAGATAAAAAAGAAAATTTATTTTACTTAATGAAGTTATTCAAAATTCGCTGTTCAATATTCCATGAGGCTTACCAGCTTGCTCTCAATATACCCCACTTTACAATTGAAAAATGTGTTTCATTCCTAGTCATCCATGAAAATAATCCACCCTTCTGTTCTTAAAAGTTAGTGTCACTTGTCAGAGAAAGTAATGACTTGGACCTAGTTTCCTTTTACACTTGCTGTCAGAATAGCTGTTCCTTCTACTGTTGATGTCTATGTTTTCGAGTTAAGGAAGGGGAAGTGCTTGAGATGTTGTACAGGAACCCCTAATTGATGAAAATGTTGGATTCAGTATATTAAAGTGTCCTGGCTAACTGTCCTGAAAATTCCTCACACACACACTTGTTGATCTATAAAGCTATATAACTTCCTTATCAACATCTTTAACGTTTGTCACCTTTTAATTCATGCAGGAATTAAACAGATAATATTGGAAGTTGTTAAAAAACCTTTAGCAACTAGAGAATATGGTGCTAGTGCTCTGCTATTTCACACAATGAGAGGAACCTCATCAAGGTTTCATTCAAGAGCAGAGCTGGTGTTTCGCTTTTTGATCAGTGGTCCAACATTTGAAAGTGGCCTAGACTCTAGCCAAGGTGAATTTCTTTCTATGGAACATACTAGTTCCATATGTTGCTAAATGTTTTGTCAATTCTTTAAACCCAGCTCGAAGTGTATTTGTTACTTAAGGGTGGCACTCTGACAGCCTGCTTTGATGTGCTGGCTCAATGCACCTGAACTTCTCTTATTAAAATGCCATATAATCTGTACTTTGAAAAAGAGAGAGATAAAAATGATATGTCCCATCCTTGTTCCATTAGTAAATACTGTTGGGTGATTTAATGAGTCAATTATAATCATTACTTTGAGTACTGGCCGTAACTTTCTGTCTTCCGAGCAGTTTACTGCAAGTTATTTTCCTCTTATTTTTTGTGTGTATCTCTATTCCAGGTTCAGACGCTATTCTAGAAGTGATCAAGTGTGTGTGTCAGAGATTATGTGAAGAAATGGAACCCAAGGAATTGGATATGATATGGAAATGCTTGATTGAAGAAATAATGGATGCCATTACAAATGGTTACGTGCTTCGAATAAATCAACTTTTGATGCTGCTTACTTCAGCAGTTCAGAATGTGAATTGGAAACAAATTTCTGGTTAGATATCTGAAATACTCCTTCCAATTTTCAAGCGTTGGCCATTTTTGTAAAATTCTATTGTTTTACTAAAGCTACTAAGTTTATATGTTTCACAGATTACAAACCGATGCTTGAGCTTGTAGATTTACACATGATGAAATTTATCACAACTACAAGCCTTACAATGGAAGATGGCTTATCCAAAATCATAGATTCGATTCTGCAATTAATGTTGGTTATTCTTGATGGTCTTCTAAGTTCTGAGGACTCTCTATCTATTTCTAATTGTTCGTTGCACTGGGCTCCAATATTTCAATTAAATAGCAGTTGGTATGAGCAACTTAGCCTTCATGAAATGACACTTGGTATGTGTTACCTTTTATATTTTTTAACCTTAGTAACATATTTGAGGTCTTTGTTTCTAGTTTATTGACTTTTGTACGAGAAGTAATGGGGAAGGACACTAGTGTACTATGTGCATTCAGAACTAACATCTTAAGGTATGTATCAATTTTTTTTTTTTTTTTGATATTCTATTGCATAATTAATTGAGATATCTAATGGGGCTACTACTGCATTTTCAGAACAATGAATGAATTGTTAGAATCTTTCCGTGAAGAGGTTGTCTATCTTCTTCTTTCCTTCTGCGAGAGATTACCAACAAAAGTGTTATGTACATCCGAAGAGGAGGTTCCAAGGATTTTGAACTTTTTCCAAAAGATTCTTGGTCATTGGATTAAAGAGATAGCTGATTTCATGCAAGGCAGTTCTAATGATATTGATGAATCTGAGTTGGCTATTTTTTGGGGTGTTATTCGTTGTTGTCCATATATTCTAAACTTTCAAGCCAATTCATCCTTACTAGTGGACTTGATTGACGCACTTGATCGGCTTTGTACAGTTGAAGGTACAGTTCAATCATTTTGTCTCAAATTAGTTTCCATCTTATTTCTTTTAGGTCAGTGATACAAGTTTGATGGGTGTATAAGATTTTTTTTTTTTTCTAAACAATAAACTCATAACAAATACCTATTTCTCTTATACAACAACTGGGAAAGTGCTTCTTCTGGTTGCAGACCTGAAGGGCTTTGATGTTTAGTTTATTTTTTACATATGCATACATAAATTATATATATAAAATATTGCTATGCTTATTTTTATTGCTTTAGTTGAGGCCGATACTTTCTTTGTGCTTTGTTTTTTTTTTTCCCCTTTTCTATGGGGAGGTTCTTAATTACAGTTGGTTTTTGTCGTGATCTTTTAGGTAACATATTTGGTGTTCCTAAAGAAAATTGGGAAAGCTTAATTGGTGCGACTATAGGTTCTTACCTTAAGTTGCTTTCCCATGAGAAGGCTGGGCTTGAAGAATCAAAAAGGCTTGTGTACCTTGCAAAAAGATATAGCTCATGTTCACAAGTTTTGGTAGCTGTAGCTGATTATTTGGAATTTATTCATGGGTAGGTTGAATTTGCGTTCTAGACCTTTTTTTTTTCCTTATATTTTCTAATAATTATTTCATCGCTAAATTGATTGTTGAAAGCATGTAGCATCCCTTAACCATGTCAATTGTAGGCCAGCATTGGAAGTTGACGTTAGCAAAAGAATTTATTCAGAAGAGTTTCAAGCAGATAAAGTTGAGGATGCAGTACAAGTGTTTGCAGATAATCTGCGTCACCCAGATAAGGTTGTTCGTATGTCTACTCTCAGAATCTTGTGTCACTATGAGCCTTTGCGGTCTGGAATCCTTATAAAGGACCCTGCAACTGATAACGAGATGGAAACTGAAAATTTGGAATCATGCTCCGATGATTCGGTTGGCAGTGAGGTAAGTTTGTTCATGGTCCTTTATTTTCCTGTTTGACTTTGTGCTTTAGAGCTTTGGGTTCACTCTCTAATTGTGTCAGGTTCTTCGGCTGCTCCTTTCTATTGAATCGACTCCTACTTCAATATCTACGAGCAGAAAGATTATATTATTAATCTCTAGAGTTCAGATGGTCTTGTTGTCTGAAAAGATTCCTGAGGCTTACTTATTGGTTGCTTTGAATGGTATTATTGGCATTTTCCAAAACCGCTTTAGCTATATTTGGGATCAAGCATCTGAATGTCTTGCATCTTTAATCAGAAGACACTCAAGAGTTGTGTGGGATAAATTAATCTGTTATTTTCAGCAGTGGTTATTTCTACTTGATCAACCGGACAGAGAAACCGTTGAATCATCTGATGAACTACATGGTATGCTCTCGTCTGCCATTATGATTTTTTAGGTTCATATTTCATTTAAAATAATCTTTCTTCTGATGCTTCGTTTTGGTTAGTTGCAATTTTAGAATGCACAGTTAAGTTCCTCGTTTCAGTGGAGTTTGTCATTTTATGAACAGAAAGTTATTTTTTTCACATGTAAGATAATTGCTTTGTGATACATGTTTCTGTGCAATAAAGATCGGCCTATACTTGCTTTGTTAGGTGTTTGTATTAATTTTTTGAAATTCTTCACAATTTGTATCTTTCAGATCTAGTCAGATGTTTCCGCTCATTTGTTGTTCCTTCACCAGACAGTACACCACTCTATACTCTGCTATCCTTGGTGCTCCAATCATTACAAAAAAATTCGACTATTGTTGAATCTCAGTCTCGTCAGATTTTGCCTCTGTTCTTCACATTTTTAGGCTACAACACTGATAATGTGGAAAGGTGTGATTTATCATTGGATTCATATCTCATAATTTATTTTTGCAGGCGCAATGTTTATAATGCTCTTGCAATTTTCTTATTTACAATATTTTTTGCTTGTCTGTTGAAATTACAGTGTGTATTCATTCAAACAATATACATGTAAAAGCAAGGAGTGGAAATGTGTGCTCAAGGATTGGTTAAACTTGCTGAGAAATACCCGTAACCTGAAGTCATTTTACAAGAGTGATTTTCTTAAAGAAGTTTTGGAGCAAAGGTCAGTGTTTTATTTAATGAAACACTGTTCTGTTCTATTTAATGTCAACGTTTAATAATGAATTATCTTTTTGCTAATATATATTTCTTCCATAAAGGAGACTGCTGGTTCTTTTTTCTAATGATTCTGCGTATACCTGCTTTGGTTGAATCTTTCTAGGCTTTTGGATGATAATGATGCTGAAATACAAAGCAAGGTCCTTGATTGCCTCTTAATCTGGAAAGATGACTTTTTGATTCCATATGAACATCACCTAAAAAACTTGATCTCCCCCAAGACTTTGAGAGAAGAACTTACAAGGTGGAGCTTGTCAAAAGAAAAAAATCAAATTGATGATCGGCATAGACCTAATCTCTTACCTGTAGTTACTCGCTTATTGATGCCAAAAGTCAGAAAATTGAAGGTTCTTGGTTCCCGCAAGGTAAATTCTTTATCAGGTAGTATATATGGTTTATGATGAAGTGTGCTGATGCTCCATATAACATCTTTGTTATTCCTGAACTTCGTCAGTATTTGTTACTGTTATAGTAGAACATGCACGTATGGGTTATTGATGTTGGCTGATTGCTAATCAGTATGCCACATTTGATCATACTCGAGTGATGCTATTTTTTGTTGCTGAAGCATTTGACTTGCATGCATAGGTTGTTTGGTTTAATTGATTGACGAGTTTAACATATTTGGTTAATTTTGAACGTTCTAAGGGTTTTTAGTTTGTGTGTTGTCAAGAAGGATGGCCTGTCTTCAATTTGATAGTATGGGTGGCTTATTCTTATATATTATGGAATCAAAATCACAAAAAAATACTGAGTTTGATATTTCTTTTATGCCAGCAAGCCAGTGTAAATCTTCGAAAAGCTGTCCTTCAGTTCTTTGCACAACTTGATACCACAGAGCTTCCTCTTTTTTTTGCTCTGCTATTGAAGCCCTTGAACATTATTCCAAAGGAGGCTGATGCTAGTGCTTACTCACGCCCAGTTTCAATGAATACTTCAGCAACTAACATCTTGAAATACTTCTCAGCAGAAAGTATAGTAGCATTGTCATGGAAGAAGAAATTTGGTTTTATGCATGTTATTGAAGAAGTTCTTGCAGTTTTTGATGAAATGCTTGTTAGTCCATTTCTCAATATGATATTGGGTTGTGTTGTCCGAGTATTGGGAAGTTGCACATCAAGTCTTCACGCGGCAAGGAAAAATGAAGAGTCTTTAGTTGAAAATGAAAAGATGTGTGACAAGAATTCACTTGAGATCAACAAAGAAACCGCATCCCCTGGCCTGGTAATGCTTCCATCCAGATAAGCCGTTTCTTTAATATCAACTTCCAGTAAACTTCTTGAGGCTCCTGTAAATTTCCTGAGGATCTTTTTTTTTTCTCCATAAAAGTGACTGCCTTTTTATGGGAGTATTTCTGTGTTTTTGTCATACTGTCTCCCCTTCTTTACCCAGTTTTGAATTGAGGATAATGTTAAAACCAGCTCTACTTGGTACCAGCTATCTGATGAATGTGTAATTAGATTCCAGTCTAAATATATTTTTTTACTAGGTTCTCATTTACCTAATAGTCACGGTCGTTAAGTTTCGAGGTCCACTTGTTACTGGTTCTTTTCCTTAATGCTAAATGCTATAGCTTTTCCTAATCCATTGATTTTCTCATATCTTTACTGATTACATCAGATTACTAATTATGGAACTCGAAGCTCTAGATACTAATGATGCTTTTTTCTCCTAAGCAGACCAGTACAGCCGTGAAGCAGTATAAAGATTTAAGGTCTTTGTGTCTCAAAGTCATTTCTTTCGTTCTCTACAAATACGAGGATTACGATTTTGAAATTGAGTTCTGGGGCCTATTTTTTATGTCTGTGAAATCTTCAATCGAAAGTTTCAAGCATGAGGGCTCAAGTAGTGAAAAGCCAAGTTCACTTTTCTCTTGCTTTCTTGCCATGAGTAGAAGCCACAAACTTATGCCACTATTGTCTAGGGAGAGGAATCTTGTTCCTGATATTTTTTCAATCCTCACCATCTCAACAGCATCTCAATCCATCATATCGTTTGTTCTTCAGTTTATTGAAAACCTATTGACATATGATGGTGAGTTGGATGACAATGACAGTACTGTCAGAAGCGTTCTACTTCCAAATCTTGATTCACTCGTTCAAAACTTGCATGTTCTTTTCCAAAGTGGTGATGCTAAAAAGAGGTATGTGTTTTTATCCATGATGATGTGCATTATTGTTTTCACTGTTAAGATTATCTACCATGCTAAACACCAGCCATCATTTTAATAATTTGTCTACTTTTACTTTTTGGGTTAGAAGATGGTGTCGGCTGGGTACAATAATTTAACAATTTAACATGTAATACCCTATTCTGTAAATTGTTAATAGATGTGCAATCCACGTGATTCTGTTGTTTATTGCATAATAGATGTCCTAATGTTCGGTTCATTTATGTATATACTTTAGTTCCAAATGTTTGGTTCATTTTTGTAATTATGGCTAAATATCTATTTCAACATTAGGACTAAATATATACTTAAGTTCCCAACGTTTGGGTCATTTATGTATTATCTTTTGTACCTTGTATTTATTTTAATGTTTTGTATAGTGTAGAAAATTACTTCTGTTTTCCAATTATAAAAATTATTTTTTGTAATTATGAACAATATTTTAAAAGGCATTTGATTCTTACACCTTGGGGTTTGCCTTGAGGGGAGTCTCTAAGGATTGCAAATGGATTATTTTATAATCATTCCCTTGTCATCATGTCAGGAAATTGGTAGAACACCTCAATGGACCAATGATAAGAATTTTCAAATTACTCTCGAAGCTTGTAAGGGATCCACTGCATGCTAAGATGTTTGTTGAAATCTTACTCCCATACTTAACTCAGAGTAGACATACTTCTGGTGAGAATATTTTCCTTTTTGTTTTTAGTTGGAAAATACTGTAAGAATTGACTCAAAAAATTAGAATTGGAGTTTTTTTTAACGATTTCAAGCCCCTACTTTCCTTGCAGGATCTCATGCCGATACTCTGCAAGTAATTCAGAATGTGGTTCCCATACTAGGGAGCGAGAGTACAACAAAAATCTTGAAAGCAGTTTCTCCGTTACTGATTTCAGTTGAGCAAGATTTGCGTTTGCTTATATGTGATCTTATCCATGCTCTTGCAGAAGTTGATTCTTCCATCCTCTGTGTGGTAAAGTTCTTCTAGATGCATTCGAGTTCTTTCTGTTGATACTATTTTGGTTTGTTATCTCTTAGAACGATAATGTTGTAATTATTCTATCTACTTTTCATATTCTGTAGGCTCAAATCATCCGTGGTTTGAATGCAACCTCTGCTATGGACATTGGTGGCCTTGATTTTGACACGATTGTCAATAGTTATGAAAAAATTAATGTGGATTTCTTCTGTTCTACCTCAGTGGAACACGCTTTAGTTGTTCTATCACAGTGCGTGCATGATATGTCGTCAGAAGAACTAATTCTAAGACATAGTGCTTATAGGTCTTTGCTCTCTTTTGTTGAATTTTCTTCTTCAATTCTTGGTCAAGGAGGGATGGGTCACCATGAATCAATTGATAATACGACATTACCCGACAATAGCTGGTTGAAAGTAAACATCATGCAGATAACAAACAAATTCATTTTGAAGCATATGGGGCAAGCAATGAACAGAGAGACCTCTATTAAAAAGGTAGGGAGTTATATTTTATTCTACTTACGGCCCTGAAGTAATTTGTTCAATCCAAAACTTCACATTTTTTGTTCATTCATGAAAGATGTAAATACAAAGCTGATACATTGTGGAATAACATGTTTGTTAAACTTTGGTTTATGTTCTTTATATTTTACAACAAGAACAATTCATTATTAACCTTGTATCGAAGGATAGCGAAGGGATTATTTTAGTTAATATCACGTGGATGTTGTACATTGGAACAAGGAAAAGAAAATGGAAGAAAAAGAATAGATTGCATATAAGTCCACCCTCTTTTCTTCCATATTTTTCTTCCTCTCTATTTTAAGCATGGATAGATGGTTTGGGGATCTCTACTTACAGCTTCTTAAATATGTAGCATTCATTGTCTTAGAAGTACAATGTTATCAATTATCGTTTACATTTTCCACTCTGATCTTCTTTTATGAATTGTCTGTCTGGTTACAGGAGTGGATGAATTTATTGCGAGAAATGGTGTTGAAATTCCCTGATGTGGCTAATTTATGTTCGCTGAAGGCCTTATACAGTAAAGATGCTGAAGTTGATTTTTTCAGTAACATAACCCACTTGCAGGTGAATTTCTGCTTCATATATCGGTAAAATTTGTAGGAACAAAAAATTACCACTGTGCTTCGGAGTAGCATTACTTAACTTTCTTATAAGCCCGTCACCAAAATTTTCACTAATTTCATGATGGAAAAATATATTGCTTCTTCAAACATGTACGTGGTTTTTTTTCTAAATTAAAAGGGATGCATACAAATACTTATTTTGTGGATGAAACATAAATTTTTAAGGATATATTATTATGACTCCATTGACTCAAAAGTAATCTCTTTGAAATTGTTTTAATTGACAAATTCGATTTCCTATAAAAAAAAAATTATTTATAACTTCTCGTTGTGTTATTATCTCCATTTCACATTGATTTTTCAAGGAATGTCTGATATGTTGCAGAAACTTAGAAGAGCAAAGGCACTGATTCGCTTCAAAAATACTATCAGTACCGTCAACATTCCTGAGGTATTTTCTCTAGTCTTAATATTAATTTTACTATTAATCTATTGATTGGGAAGTTTCTTATCTTATCCTCACTTTAATTTCTCTAAGGTCATCACAAAGAATGTCTTTGTGCCGCTGTTCTTCAATATGCTGTTTGATTTACAAGAGGGAAAAACAGAGAATATTAGAGTTGCTTGTATAGAGGCAATTGCTTCAATTTCTGGTCAAATGGAATGGAAGTCATATTTTGCTCTGTTAAGAAGATGTTTTCGGGATCTCACTAAACGCCCAGATCAGAAAAAGGTTCTGTTGCGCTTGATATGTTCTATTTTGGACAACTTCCATTTTCAAGAGAATACTTCAGTAGTTGGGTCAACACGCTTGTGTGGCAGTACGGTTGTGACAAGCGATATGCAAGCATGCCTTAGTAAATATGTGTTCCCAAAGATACAAAAATTTATGAACTCTCAGTCAGAAAGGGTTGATATTTATGTTCATCTTGCTGCACTAAAGGTGTTAAAATTACTTCCAGAAGATGTTATGGATTCACAACTTTTGAGCATCATCCATCATATTGTTAACTTTTTGAAGAATCGTTTAGAAAGTGTCCGTGAAGAAGCTAGATCTGCATTGGCTGCTTGTTTGAAGGAACTTGGATCTGAATATTTGCAAGTTATAGTTAGGGTTTTGAGAGGATCTCTAAAGCGTGGATACGAGCTGCATGTGCTGGGGTATACACTCAATTTTATATTGACTAAGTTCTTTACTGCCCCAGCTTTTGGGAAGATGGATTATCTTTTGGACGATCTCATTTCTATTGTAGAGAAAGATATCCTTGGAGAGGTCTCCGAGGAAAAGGAGGTTGAAAAGTTGGCCTCAAAAATGAAAGAGACAAGGAAACAGAAGTCCTTTGAGACACTGAAATTGATAGCTCAAAGCGTAACATTTAAAAGCCACGCACTTAAGCTTCTTAGACCCGTTACTGATCATATGAAGAAGCATCTGACACCAAAAGTTAAAGCCAAATTGGAAAATATGCTAACAAACATAGCTGCTGGTTTTGAAAGCAATCCTTCTGTCAACCAAACTGATCTTTTAGTCTTCATCTATGGCCTCATTGAAGATGGAATAAAAGTTGAAAATGGACAGGGTGAAAGCACTTCGTTGCTTGATGCAAACAAACGTTCTAAAGATGTCTCCAGAGGAAAAAATTTGTCATGTCAGATAATACTTGCTAAGTCCCCCTGTTCACACCTTATTATGGTGTTTGCACTTAAGCTTCTGCATGGGTACATGAAGAAGATGCAACTTGGAAAAGAACACGTTCCGTTGCTATCAATGCTTGACCCTTTTATTTCCCTGTTAGGAAACTGCTTGACTTCTAGATACGAGGATGTTTTATCATTAACTCTTAGATGTCTCACTCCATTGCTGAGATTGCCTTTGCCATCTGTCAAATCCCAAGCTGATAAGATCAAGGGAGTAGTGTTAAATATTGCTCAGAGTTCAGTAGATCCATGCAATCCATTAGTAGAATCATGTTTGAGGTCATTAACTGTGCTTCTGCGAAATGAACAAGTTACACTTTCCACAGATCAGCTGCATTTAGTAATTCAATTTCCATTGTTTGTCGATATTCACAAGAATCCATCTTTTGTTGCCCTTTCACTTCTAAAGGCAATTGTTAGTTGCAAACTTGTTGTCCCTGAGATTTATGATCTTGCTATTCGGGTAGCTGAATTGATGGTGACAAGTCAAGTTGAACCAATACGGAAAAAATGCAGCAAAATCTTACTACAATTTCTGCTTGATTACCGTCTTTCAGAAAAGCGCTTGCAGCAACATTTAGATTTTTTGCTCTCCAATTTAAGGTGACGAATGAAATTAAGCTAATTTTCTTTTATATATTAATTTTGTGTTTGGTTCTGTCTTTAGAAGATTTTCCTATGATTGTAGGTATGAGCATTCAACGGGAAGAGAAGCTGTTTTGGAGATGCTTTTCACAATTGTCGTTAAATTTCCAAGAACTGTGGTGGATAGTATTTCTCAGACATTATTTGTTCATTTGGTGGCTTGCTTGGCTAATGATCAGGATAATAATGTTCGGTCTATGACTGGTGCTGTAATTAAGCGCCTAATAGGTTGCATAAGTTCTGGTCCTCTCCATTCTATACTTGATTACAGTCTATCTTGGTACTTGGGAGGAAAGCAGCAACTATGGAGTGCCGCAGCACAGGTGAATTTCTTAAATAGATGTTTTCTTTTGAGCAATTTCAAACTAAAATATATTTGGTTCACCTTTCATTCAACTTGCTAGATTTTCAATTTCTCAGTTAATATAAGGATATGTATTAAGCTTTGATGGGCAACGTGCTTAAATGATGCTATATTTACTAGTATACTCTTTTTAAGTAAAAAGTAATTGTTCTGCTACGAATGTAGATAATGATAAATGTCGATCCCCAATGTATATGTGAGTTGATGTTGATTGTTTGAGTTGCTTCCACATTTAATATTGAAGCTAATTAATTGGTACTCAGAGGTACTGGCACATTAAATTTTTTCTTAAAAAAAATCATTCTGAATCAGCAATTTCATATGCTCTTTTTTGTGCTAGTTCTTTTTATCTCTCTTTTGGTTATCTATTAGCCTCAGGCTTTAGCTTTGAGTTTCATTTAACTGATTAACTTTCTTGGTTTACCATCTCTTTCATTTGGAGATAAAAGAACAAGCGGAGGATAACGATATTACAATTTTTGTCGGTTGCCTTGTTGGTGGTTGGTCACTCATATAAATATAACTAAATTAATGGGAAGAAAGGATTTGACATTATTTTTTTGTACACAGGTCTTGGGATTATTAGTTGAAACTGTAAAAAAGGGTTTTGAAAGACATATAAGAACTGTGTTGCCAGTTGCCAGAGGCATTCTGCAGTCTGTTGTTGATGTTACTACGAATGATCAAATAGACATTTCTGCAGAAACAACCACTACATTTTGGAAGGAGGCATATTATTCGTTGGTGATGCTAGAGAAGATGATGCACCAATTCCCGGAGTTATTCTTTGATAAGGATTTTGAGGTATGTAGCTATCAATTCCTTCCCTTAACTATCTCTATGTTTCATTAGGATTCTATTGCATGGAGGCGCTTTTCCTGGTATGCTACAGACGCTGAACTACTGACAAACTTAGACAGTAGTGAAAATTTTATTGTGGGTCCGCTACATCCTTTTGGTTCCATTGTCTACAAAACCTAAAAAATACTAACGTAGGAGACCCTGGTTTTATAAGGAAAAGGTGCATTGGACCACTAAGCATGTTTTTATGAGCATTCATAGAATCATAACAAGGAGCTTGACTTTTCAGAGCAAATGTCTCTTTTTTGGGGTTGATCAGTGTTATCTGCTGGTATGTAGTTGAGTGCTTATTAGAGAAAAGAGTCCATGTACAACCCAAGCACAAACTAAACGTACATTATCTACTGCTGGTTCATAGCTCTTTTTTAGCCTTCTTGTGAAGAATCCACACGAGAGCATTAGTTGCTTTTGCAATTTACTTGAAATAATATCCTCACTAGTTTGACATACCATTATCAAATTTATATTTACATGTTTTTATGGGAGGTTCAGGTAGAACGTTGGTACCTTTTGTAGAATGCCAGATAAATGGACCCTTACTTTTTTAAAAAGCCTGCACTTACTCCAAGACCCAGACTCTTGAGGCATCAAGTGATTTTCATATTAAACTCCCTGGAAGATTTGAACATGCAACTTTTGGATAGGTGTTACTCTGAGACTGGGATTTAGCTAGTGGAACTGTGGATTCGTCTTTTGAAAGAACTTTCAACCTACATTTAATTATTACTGTATCTAATGCTTTTGTTTGGTGCATTATTAGATGGATGTTCAATTCATCTAGGCATATCGTGCTTGATTTTTTATGTTTGTCTTCGTTTGAGTCATTGGTGGACGAAACTTTTCTTCCGAGTTCTTTGCATTCTGATTGTTGTTGCTGGTTTCTGTTTATGAGTTCTTCAAAAGAAGGCCTCTATTTCTATTATGCCTATTTAGTTGTTTAATCACCTTGAGGGGCATAATAACAGCATCTGTTAAATCATAATATTGAAATGTAGTATTTGAACCTAGGAGCATATTAATTTTATTGAGTTATTCTCCCATATTCGGTCTCACGTTAACGTCTTTTACTGAATGTTTATTTGTAAACCATTAACGCAGTGGATGCTTTTAGCTAGATTGCTGATTCTTTATATTTCTCTCAGGATATATGGGAAATGATTAGTCATCTGCTTTTGTACCCACATATGTGGATACGTAGCATCTCAAATCGCTTGATAGCGTCATATTTCACTACTGTGATCGAGAATAGCAGAAGAAATTCTGAAAAATCGCTAGGAGATTATTCTCTTATGAAGCCAAGTAGACTCTTCTTAATTGCTACTTCCCTTTGCTGCCAGTTGAAGTCGGACCTCACAGATAAAGATGCTGATTTGATTGTCCAAAACCTTGTTTTTGCTATTTGTGGTTTGCATTCTGTGATTGGAAAAGTGGAGAGTACGAATTCATGTCCGTTCTGGTCTACGCTTGAACAACCCGAGCAAAGGCTTTTTCTCAAAGCATTCCAGTTGCTTGACTCAGGAAAAGGAAGAAGCATGCTTTTACCTCGAATGACTGGTGTATTCGACCAAGATGATGCTTGTCCCAATATCTGTTACCTTCTCGTCTCGAACTTGCTCAAGCAGATGGGGAAGGTTGCTCTTCAAACAGATACTATCCAGGTTATCTCCGAATGGTTTCAAGTTTAGTTAACAATTTATTTCCACCTACCTACGATTTCCATTAATCATGTGTCCTGTTTCATGCAGATGACTATCGTTTTCAATGTCTTCCGCAATATATCATCACAAATCGCTGTAGAAGATTGCGAACGATATGCTTTCGAAATTTTGCTGCCTTTATATAGAGTTCGTGAAGGGTTTTCCGGAAAGCTAATTACTGGTACAATTTCTTTCCTATGCAAACCTTTTCGTACCCCGTTTCTTTTTATCATCTTGTCCGTGTCAGCATGTCAATGTGTTGAGTAAAAATATACTGCGCCCATAACTATTGCAATTGTGCATCTAACCCATTGTTTATCCTTCATGAATAGCCATAGATTTCATTATTCATTATTCATCAAACTCCTTTGAGAACCTGATTGTTATTTACCAATGAATTTTTTCCATGTTCTTTTTTTTTTTTGTAGATTCAATGGTACAGTTGGCCCAAGAAGTTTGTGATAAAATACAGAATTGTTTGGGCATTCAGAAATTTGTACAGGTGTACAGCCAGATCAAGAAGCGTCTCAAGGTCAAAAGGGACAAGAGGAGGCAAGAAGAGAAGCGCATGGCGGTCGTTAATCCTATGCGAAACGCGAAAAGGAAACTACGAATTGCAGAAAAACAACGTGCCAGCAAGAGAAGGAAGATAGCAACGATGAGAATGTCGAGGCGGATGATGTAGATTAGATGTAGAAAGGTATCTATTATCATCACTAATACTAACAGGTATATTTCACCTCCCCGGTTACGTAAGATCTTGGGTCCTTGAGTTAGAAGGGGTATCAGAAGGATCAAAACCATACAAATTGACCTCCCAGACTACGATGATCCAATGTCTTCCCAGCACCGTCGAACGTACGAACTGCCAGCCACAGGTATCGTCCCAGCTTTGTTCATACAAGAACTGGCATGAGAGGATTAACTATTCGAGAGACGATTTGATTAACTAGGATTGTAGCCGTCGTAGTTTGGCCTGTGGTATTGGCAATTTTTGTTCATTTAGTGTATAAATTATTTAATTTTGTTAGGAATTTTGGCCTGTATGCTTCCTTGTCATATATATTTTTGTTACACTTAGAGCTTAGATGGCAAGAAATTGGAGAGATTGTCAACTTTTATATATATATAATACTAATTTCTTCCAAAAATAATGCAAATAACTCTCCCATTTCTAAAATTATTTTTAAAACTGATTATGGTTCTTAAAACTTTATTTGAATCATTAAATTTGTTTCATTTTGGTCTTCAAAAGTTTAACATTTTTTTTTGTTTGAACTTTAAAAATAAATTTAGTTTATTAGACTATTTATGAATTTCGGCACGCTAGAATATATAATATATGTATATATTAAAGTTTGATAAAAATAGAACCGTATTTAAGTTGAAATTATTCATATTGGTATTATTATCATAATCTTCGATAGTGTCTGGTTTTTGTTGTGGGATCTCATATAAGAGGACGGAAGTATAAATTCACATTATTATTATACGAGGAACGAAATATCTCACATCAATTAAATTAAGAAAAAAAAATTATTGATATAGTTAATAAAAATTAATTAAGACAATATTATTAGTATTTTTAAGAAATATATTAAGGTTGGGTTATATCATCTTAAATTTTTCAATAAATCCAACCTTAAAGTTTAAACATGCATTTTTTACTTAGTTGCACTATATTTAAATCTCAAATTTAACGAAATTTAATATGAACAGTAAACCCAACAAAAACCAAATTTTATCACCAAATTAATTTGATTTAATCGATATTAAATACGCATGAGAATATATTTGTATTGATGATTTTTTAAAATACAAAAGTGTATAAAAAGGGTAAAAATGGCAACTTGATTCAAATGTTTTATCTTTTAGTTTGAAATTGGGGTGACAACGAAGATTAAGAAGGCATGGTCAAGCTGGATTTGACCAGATGATTCGATTCCATGTTCTTCGTTTAAAAAGCTGCGTCCGTACACGTCGTATATAGCGTGTTCAAATTGCAATCGAAAATTTAAAAAATAAAAAAAATAATACAAATTTATTCATTGGGAAAGCGCGGCAAGAACTCTTGAAATCAGGGTTGTATTTCCATTTTTCCTCATTTGTCCTCTCAAATGCAAAATGTAACCGTCACAACTGACCCAACTCAAATATTCGCCCCATCGTCAATGGCGGTTTTCGAATCGAATTGTTTCTCAGAAATGGCGGTGGCGGGCTCGTAGCCTGGCAGCTTTTCGACACCCCAAGAGGTTGGGTACGTTGTTTTTGTTGATTTCTGGTGTGGGTTTCTTCCCATTTCTTTTATGGCTTTTGATCTTTTGATGAATCGGTGTAGGAATTTTGATTTGGTGTCTCTTGGCCTCTGCGAAGAACTTCCAATAATCCTCATATTTCTGTTTAAGTTATGGGGATTTTGACTGATAATGTTCGTGGGTTTCTTCTTGCTGTCTCTTCCAGCGTTTTTATTGGTTCTAGTACTATCATTAAGAAGAAAGGTCTCATCAAATCAGCGGCTGCTGGAACAAGAGCAGGTTTCGTTTGATTCTCCTTCGTTTTTCTCATTACTAAATGATTGAACCTTGTAAAACATGTTCTGAACTCCTTTTTTATTGTGTTTTTTTCAATGTATTCAGCTTCTGGAGGATTTTCGTATTTGTGTGAACCTTGGTGGTGGGCTGGAATGATAACCTGTAAGTCTTATGAGTTCTTCTTTAGGTTATTAACTCATTAATTTCAATACCCTTTGTGTTCTTATCATGTTTTTAAATTTAAGCTGTTCTGTGTTCATAGTTCATAATATGGCAATGGAATCTGCACCTCAATAGCTATAGTTTAATCGAATTTCATGCTAATTGGAAGAGCTTTTTTGTTAACAATAATGGATTGGGGCTTGGCTTTCCACCCCTTTGTAATTTCATATCGTTCGCTTTGATTTGTTATCTAAGTTTACCATAAAGGACTCTTATTGAAACATATTGTTCTTATTAATCTGTTATATCCTACTTTAGTTAATATAATCACACGTTGAGGACTCGAAAATCGGCCTACTCTTAATCTTTCTATTGATTTCCTCTTCAATGAAGTTTTTTTCTTCTTTCCATTGTGTTTATAGTGATTGTTGGGGAGACTGCTAACTTTGTTGCCTATGCATATGCTCCGGCAATTCTTGTCACCCCCTTGGGAGCTTTGAGCATTATTTTCAGGTATGTAACACATTAGGCTTGTAAACGTTGTATCGACAATTTTGATTTGCTATCTAGAATTGGTGTGAACGTTGATGATTGTCGCTTGTGATGTTCGGTATTTGATGAATAAGTAAAACGATGTCTTGCAGTGCAGTCTTAGCTCACTTTATGTTGAAGGAGAAGCTGCATATCTTTGGTGTTCTTGGTTGTATTCTGTGTGTTGTGGGTTCTACAACTATTGTTTTGCATGCCCCACTGGATAGAAAGATTGAATCTGTTAAGGAAGTGTGGCATCTTGCAACACAGCCAGGTAAGAAAGCACGGATATTTTAGTTTGAGTAGCGTGTTTGTGCTTGACACTCCGACACTGGTTAGACACATAACGGACACTTGTTAGCATTATATATATATATATATGTTAGACCCTAGTCGTACTAAATCAATATAGACTCAACATTTGTTAGACACGTATCAAGCAGTTGTTAAGTGTGTTTGTGTGAGATCCCACATCGGTTGGAGAGAACAAAATATTTTTTATAAGGGTGTGGAAACCTCTCCCTATTAGATGCGTTTTAAAAACCTTGAGGAAAAGTCTAAAGAAGACAATATCTGCTGGTAGTAGGCTTGGGCGGTTACAAATGGTATTAGAGCCAGACACTGGGTGATGTACCAGTGATGAGACTGAGCCCTGAAAGGGGGTGGACACAAGGCGGTGTGCCAACAAGGACGTTAGGTTCCTAAGGGGGTGAATTGTGAGATCCCACGTCGGTTGGGGAGGAGAATGAAACATTCTTTATAAGGGTGTGGAAACCTTTCCCTAACAGATGCGTTTTAAAAACCTTGGGGGGAAGCCCAAAAGGGAAAGCTCAAAAAGGATATATCTACTAGCGGTAGGCTTGAGCTATTATAGTCCGCTCGTGTCTTATCCGTGTCTCATATCTGTATCCGTGCTGCTTCTTGTAATAGATTGGAGTTTCCTTAAGTTACATTGTTTCGAACTTCCGAGATTTGGATGCTAATCTATGCTTCTTGCACTTCTTTCAGGATTTCTCGTCTACTCATGCCTAACGATAGTTGTAGTTGCAGTACTTATTTTTCGATTTGCCCCACGCTACGGCCGGTCCCATATGATAATATATATCGGAATTTGCTCTCTCATGGGCTCTCTTACGGTTCGCTTACCATCTTTGAACTTGAAATCGTCTTTTAATACTCCTCCATCTTTCGAGGGCTATGATAGTTTTCGGATTCTTTTCTTCAGGTTATGAGTGTTAAGGCAGTAGCTATTGCTGTCAAGTTGACATTTGGAGGAGTGAATCAATTCAAGTACTTTGAGACATGGTTCTTCACTGTGTTTGTGATAGCCTCTTGTGTTTTGCAGGTCGTCTACTTGAACAAGGTAATATTTTGAACTATGAACTTTCACGTTTCTGTCTAATAGGTCCCTTAAACTTTAAAAATTGTATGTTTGTATCCTTCACGGTAGCTTCATGAAACTAGTTGAAATGGCGAAATCGGATTCAGAGTTGACATTGAACTTGGTAGGGTTTAGGGGGTAAAGGCTGATTTTATTAAATACACCAACCTTCAACCATACTTTTCTTCCGGTCACATGTGGCATGTGTTCTGTTGTCACTTGGAAACTCGGACACTGTTTTTTAGTTGAGTATTAGATGTTGAACATGTGTCTAACACAAACACGCTCCAGCACGCTCACATGTCCCGTATAAAAGAGTGTCCGATTATTAATTGTTTGTTGATTTTCCAACAAATTGGCGACACGTTAATGATGCAATTAGGATAGGTTAAGGACACGCCAAGGACATTGGTTAGAGAGGAGAATGAAACATTTCTTATAAGAGTGTGGAAACCTCTCCCTAGTAGACGCGTTTTAAAAGATTGTAGGGTTGATGGTTGTACGTAATAGGCCAAAGCGGACAATATCTGCTAGCGGTGGGTTTGGGCTGTTACAAATGGTATTAGAGTCAGACACTGGGCGGTGTGCCAACGAGGACGTTGGCTCCCCAAGGGGGGTGGGTTGTGAGATCCTACATCGGTTGGAGAAGAGAACGAAACATGTCTTATAAGGGTGTGGAAACCTCTCTCTAGTATTAGGAACCACGACTCTCCACAATGGTATGATATTATCCACTTTGAGCATAAGCTCTCATAGCTGCTTTTGGTTTCTCCAAAAGGCCTCGTAGCAAAGCAAGGGAGATGTATTCCTTATAAACCCATGATCATTTACTTAATTAGCCAATATGGGACTCACTCCCGACAATCCTCAACACCTAGTAGGCACGTTTTAAAAAACTGTGAGGCTAACGGCGATACGTAACGGGCCAAAGCAGACAATATCTACTAACTATTGTCAAAAGGTTCAAATTGTCAAAAAGAAATACAGTATATCAAAATATGTGTACACACAAACACGTACATTAGAAAACGGCGTGCCATTGTGTTTATGTTGTATCTGTTTCATGTGTCCGTGTTTGTGCTATTCATGCCACGAAAACCGTTCGATTTATAGTTTGATCACCATCCTTTTGTCCAGGCTCTTGATGCTTTCAACTCTGCTGTTATATCTCCAGTTTACTACGTGACATTCACAACATTTACCATCATTGCCAGTATGATCATGTTCAAGGTGACTAAACCAATTCCTTTAAACAAATGAATTGAAAATGAGATGATTTTCATTGTTGGTGTGTTTGATATGAACAGAACTGGGACTCTCAAAGTGCAGCACAGATTGCCACTGAAGTTTGTGGATTCATCACCATTCTTTCTGGCACCTTCCTCCTCCACAAAACTAAGGACATGGGGAAGCCTCCCGCCTCTGAGCCCCCTCTCATCCAAACCCAAACCCTTAGCCATCCCCATCAAAATCTTAATTCCTCATAAATTATTTAACGACCCGACCCGAGTTGAGCCAAGCCCGTCATCTCGACAATTGGTTCCTTTTCTTTTCTCTCCTCCGCTGCATTCAACGATATAAAACTGTCGTCCACAGTTCATCGGCCTCTTACGAATAAATTTTTCTTTTTGAGCTAATTCATTCTTTTGTTCCATTTGAACTAACTTAAAATGTTTTTAGGTTTGAAAATTATTGTTAGATTCAAGAATTTGAATACTCGTTGGCAACACGACCATATTTTAACATGTTTCTGAGTTGAATGTTGATATGAGGGGTAAATTGGTATTTTCGTTATATCGTTACAAATACTCAATAGAATATAACTATATATATATAATCTTCGATCTATCGGTGGAGATACATATTTTGTTATTTTAGTTATATTTAAAATTTTATTTTAATCATTATTAATAAGATTTGGTAAACGTCTCCATTAAAGTATTATTGAAATGGACAAGTATTTTTGGGTTATATTAAAAAAAAAATTTATTATTAAAAAGCGGAGACTGAGTCAAAGATTTGGATTTCTCCACTTCGAATGTTGTCGGGTCATCTAGAGTGCTCCATCTACCGCAACATATGTAGGAAAAAACGGAGCGGGCATGGAAGAACTATCGTTTAACTTTGCCATGATACAATTCACTTCTCAACTATTTTTGTAATCATCACCTATAACTCACGTGTCAAGGTTCCAATCTCAATGGTTGACAACTAAACACGAGGGTTGCGTTCATTACAGAACTTAACCGAACAGCACAAGTTGAAGACAGCCCATGCACTACTGTGTCCGCATACGCAATCTCCCCTTCTAATTTGATACATGGTTTGTTTTCTAACCATTGGGTCCGCATGCCAAACTATAGAAGGAATCGTGAGACAACTCGAGGCAGAGAGAAAAATTCGAAGATACCTAAGTACACAATCCAATACTCGGAGTAGGGAGCGATTGGATGATAGTCTCTTACCATAAAAATCCGCTTCGGACCATTTATTAATTAAAGACAAAAAATGAATTTTCCATGAGTTTGGGACCAAAGATAAAATAAATAAATAAATAAATGTGGATTATTTGTGTTATGTCCCTATATTTCCTCAGGCTTCTTTAACGAAAAAACCCCAATTACTGCGCTGATAGAATTCTCTGACGCCCCCTTCTTCTTCTTCATCAACTCCACTTCCTCGGACCTCACTTTTTTTTCCTTCAAAATTTCCTTTCAATTTCCCTCCCATGTCGCCTTCACTTTCCAATTCTTCAGGTAAGTAAAAATCTCTGCATACATCCTTCAATTTGATGGTTTTTCGATGTGGATTTTGTTCGATTCTGGTTTTTTGGCCTGTGGTTTTGATGGATCGTTGCTTTTCTTTGATGCGAGTTTGAGTTTCGATTGAAAATTAGTTTCTGAGATTTTGTTTTTCGTGTGATTGAGAGAGGAATTGAGAGATAATTGTGTCTGATGATTCCCCCGAAGCGAAAGAAATGGACTGAAGCTGAGGAGAGGACTTTGATCGATAAGTATGGAGAAATGGTCTCTGATGGAACCCTAGCTAAGATGAAAACCCGTGAGAAAAGGTTTAGGCCAATTGCTAGTTATGTGAATTCTATGCATCATGTTCAAGATCCTGTAGCGTATCCATGGCAATGGACTTGGAAAGATGTTTCTACTAAGGTCCAGAACATGAGGCACCAATATCTGCTTGTGAAGCAGAAGATTAAGAAACCTGAATCCGGAGTCGAAAACTCGGTTGGAGACTTGAAGGCAGAGTATGATTGGATGGAGGGTGTTACTTATTGGTCGAACTTTTTGAGATATAAGGATGTTTTTGGGGATGTAGCGGCTGCAAATAGCCATTATAATGATTTAGCTGTCGTTTCGAGTAGCGATCGGGGGAACGTAGACCGGTTTTTGGAGGTGAGTAGAGAGATGGATATGTTGGATTTTGCTCAAATTGATGGTGTTGACAATGGGGTGATGAATTTGGGGTTTGAGTTTAATGGGGATGAAGCAGAAGAAAACTTTAATGATAATGATAATGATCAGTTGAAGGAGGATGGAGATAACAGTTTTTTCTGTGAAGGAGTTGATCCCAAGAAGAACAACTTTAAGAAGAAGAGAAAGGTGATGAAGAGATTGGAGAAGAAAGCGTGGGGATTTCTCGTGAACCAGCTAGGACGGTTGAAGGATATGGAGGCTCAGTTTGAGAAACGCGAGGTCGAAAGAGAGCAAGAACGTCGGAGGTGCGAGTGTTTAAGATTTGAAATGGAAAAAAAGTGGGAACAGAAATGGGACGAAAGCGAAACGCAAAGGGTCGAGAGGGAGAAAGCTCGAGATAGGTTGAGGAAGCAGAGAGTTCAAGAATGGGAAGCAATGGAGAAGGAAAGATTGGAGATGGAAAGAAGAAGAGAGGAGAAATTGAATCATGAAAGAGAATGGGAGGAGAGGATGAGCAAGAGACGTATAGAACGGAAGAATAGGATTGACGACGTGTTGAACCAACACCGAGCTGAAATGAATCAAATTCAGACTCGTATTCTCCACGAGCAGCAAAACTTTACGAGTCAATTACTCGGCATTATCTCTCAATGGACTGCTCACCCTTCTACACTCTCTGATCACACTAGTGCTAGTAACCATTATCTTTCACAAATGATGCAAAATCTGCATCATGTAAACGGAATCGTTCACGATGGCACGAGAGTTGAGGCCGACAACCAAGACGATCAATTTATCGTCGATGGTTGACAGTTCATTTTATGAACTTGGTCACAAAACTGTGGGATCTGCAAGAACATTTGCAGCAATGGGTTAGTCTGTAAAGTCTGAGAATAGTTGTATGAATTCAATTTTTATTGCCTTGCACTTGGTTCATCTGGTGCTCATCTGTTTATCTTGAATTATGACAATAAATTCCTCTTATCTGCTATTTCCTTTGATTCTTCTGCTGCCCTTAGAGATCTACTGACCGCTGATACTTAGCTTTATGGTATCACCATGCATTTTTCAATAGATTTGAATCCATCCGGTAACGACCCAAGCCTACCACCAGCAGATACTGTCCTTTGAGCTTGCCTGAAACCCACCATTAGCAGAAATTGTCCTCCTTGAGCTTTCCTTCAAGGTTTTTGAAACGCGTATGCTAGGGAGAGGTTTCCACACCCTTGTAAAGAATGTTTCGTTCTTCTTCCCAACGGATGTGGAATATCACATCCACCCCTTTGGGTCCCAGCGTCCTCACTGGCACATAGCTCGGTGTCTGGCTTTGATACCATTTGTAACGACCTAAGCCCAGTGCGAGCAGATATTGTTCTGCTTTCTCTTTTGAGCTTCCCTTCAAGGTTTTTAAAACATGTTGCTGGGAAAACCAGGGAGAGGTTTCCACTTCCTTGTAAAGAAATGTTTCGTTCTCCTCCGAAACTGACTGGGATCCACACTCCTGTCACATACAAGGACGAGTAAGCGAATGAGTCGGTTTTGCTTTAGTTGATGAATGTTCCTCCAGCATTCGGGAGGGTCGGAGAGGGGCGGGATTAACTCGAGAAAGGTAAGAACACCTTTTTTTTTCTCTTTTTGTCATAGGATGAGAATGGTTTGTGGTTGCCACGATGGTTGTGAAACTCATAAAAAATATAAAAAATAAAAAATAAAAAAAAGTTAAAAAGAAATGTGTTGGGCTTGGAGCATTGAAGGCTATACTTTGGGCCTGAAAGCCATATAATGTTACTATGAATGGTAGAACTTTGTGAAATTTGTGTAACATAATTTTTAAAATTCAAATTTTAATATTATTAACCATTAAAAAAATTATAATTAAAGTCTCAAAATTATATATATATTCTTTATTATTATTATTATTATTTTTAACGGGGCGGGGGCGAGGGCGGGGAATATAATCTCGTCCCCAGCCCCATTTATCTAAAAGGAAAAAAATGGTCATCACTCCCTCCTCCATTCTCCATCTAAACAGGGAATCCCCACTCGTTCGGACAGGTTCCTCAAGGCCCCGACCCTGCAAGTAAAATGGACCTCTCTAGGAACATAGAATAAGAATGCAAACCTATTAGAATGAGACGAAATGAGAGGGCATTCATGTGCGCTCGAGAAAAACACCAAAACATATTTATTGTGATGATATGGTGCATTAAGAACCATAGATAGGTTTCCGTCACAAATCTTCCTATATTTCTACAATAATATAATATTCTCCTCTTTCGACCTGAGTTCTTATTGATTTGGTTTTAGTTTTATCCAAAATGCTTGTACCAATCCAAATGTGATCTTCCAACAGAGTACGGTTGTGTACCTCTCTTTTCTAGACTCATCAATTTCTTTGTTCGAAATCGAAGGACTCTACCTTACGGCTAAGTCGAGAACATGGCTATACTACCATTTCGTAACGACAACAAATCTCCGCATATTTCTGTAACGGTACGATATTCTCCACTTTCAACATATGAAGGAGTTTATAAATAAGAAATATATATCTATTGGTATATGAGTGCTCCTGCTCAAAGTAGATAATATTATATCATTGTAAGGGTTCCTGATTCGACATGGTATCAGAGTTATGTCATTAACTTAGTCATGTCAATAGAATCCTCAAGTACCAAACTGCGTAGGTTTTAGCAGATATTGTCCGCTTTAGACGGTGATGTACAACATCTTTTGTCCCTCTCTAAATCAATATAGAACATTACGTCCAACACACAACCCAATTGGGGAAGGGATTGAAGATAAAGTTTGGTTGATTCCGATAACTCCTTTATTGGATTGGCTTACTTCAACCACATATTCTTCGGTGTATGAGAGTCTAAGTTGGTTGAATTCGCTACCGTATTTATTATGTTCCGGTATCACTTTTGGGACCGTCTTGAAAATCTTTTTTTTTTTCTTTTTAAAAATAAAATGGATTTAATGATTCACGGATTCCTTTTTCTTTTCTTGTTCTTTAAATTAATATATTAAAAAAAAAATCTTAAATTTTATTTTATTTTTTTAAAAATAGCCTTTTTCTGCTCCCCAAGAATATACGTTTTAAAGCTGTGAGACTGATATATAACGCACCAATGCAGACAATATTTGCAAATGGTCCGTGAGTTTGGTCCGTTTCAAACTGAGATCATGGGTGAATGAGTAATTTCATTTTTTTTTAATTTAAATAATTGTTTTTTAAAAATTATATTTTAAAATTTTCTCGTAGCATCACTTCAATTATCCAATCAGAAAGTATTAAAAAAATGATTTAATTTAATTAAATTTTGAAGATGTG